GAGACAGAGAGAGAGAGAAAACAAAAACAGGGGAGAGACGGACCTGAGAGAACCTTGCAACAAGCGCCATCACACAAAGAGCGCCTTATGACTTTTGGCCGGTCAGGACACGTAGGCCTTCGCATAATCGTCGTCCTCGTCTCGTCGTTTGCTGATATACAAGCAGCATGCTGGCCGCTCTTCCGATCACCTCGAAGTTTGTGAACGGACGCCTCATAGTTTCGGGCCACAAGACATGCTCCGATCTAGTCCCCGTCTGTATCTACAGTGCAGTATACATTAATTGGAGGCTCTCCTAGTGACTTAGTATGACTCTGCTGATTGATCTCGAAGTTTGTCGCACGTAGCGTGCGTCGCTTCTTCCAGCCCGACACTCCACACTGCAGACCGCCCCCCCCAAAGGCGGACGTAGCACTTACTTAGAGAATACGACCGTGAATCACGATATGAAGCAACTTACAGTATGTAAGACAAACAAATCCCTTCGAACTGCGCTTTCAACCGAAGTCCGCCCCTAGGAACCGATGGCCATCCTACCCGGAGGGCCGGGCATGTCGGATGCGGACACCAGGCAGGGTAAACTTCTGGCAGAGCCGGGCAGAACAAGAAAAATATGGTGGCAGTGGTGGTCGGAGTAGCAGTAGTAGCAGTAGCAGTCCTACTAGTCATTAAAACAGTGCAGCAACAATAATAACCCGAGTAACAAGAGTTCTGGTAATACCAATAGTTGCTAAATGCTAATAAAAACTAATAACAGTAATGACCGTAGAAGCAGTAATCAGTAGGAATAAAGGACAAGATGGATACGAAGGATGATACTCAGTGGCAATGATGACGATGCAGAAATAGTAATGAGGACCGTTGAAATCCCATGAACTTCTACCTGATATCGTCCCCATGGAAGGAATCTTGCAGAACTTCGTTCGTCATCATCCCTCAAAGTTGTGCACGGTGAGGGGCTAAAGTGCGCCATGCTCGAAAGCGTGGTGTTGTCTGGCAGGCATGGCACGGATGACCTGCACTTGCAGGATGTCGATGATATCAACGAGGCAGCCCGGAAAACTACACCTATAAGTCAATTCATGTATCTTCGGGTCACATCATTGGATGCGATTCGTTTCCTCAGCAGGCAGCATGCAAAAAACGCTGACGCCCTCCCATAGCCCTTATCGACTTTCTGGGGAGGCTCGGGACCTGAGCTTAGATTGGTGGAAGCGTCTTCCATGAGGGTGTAGGGGTCAGGGTTGCACGCAAGCAAACTCTCCGAATGGGCCTTGCGCGTCAAACGCAGGCGGTTGGAAGCTGCCAGCTGCTTGGCTCAACTTCAGCCGCATTGGCAGCTGGGTTCGGCGCATCCTGCATAGTGTTTGGTGTCGTCGTCGTCGTCGTCGTC